GATGACGCAGTCCAGCAGTCAGGGTCCCATTGAACGCTCGAACAAGCCGGCACTTCATTTTGTATCTGACCGTCGTCTATTCGCAGAAGTCGGCATGAAAGACATTGAGAGCATGCGAGTACTAATCGCAATGTTGCTTTACTGTATCTTCATTGTAAGTTTCAATCTTGGGTTTTGACCAGCAATAATGAGCGATTTCAGTTTTCGCCAGTGCATTCTGGTGATTTTTGGGAAATCAAAGAGAGGAAACTTCTTATTAAGGAAAAACCGATCAGAAAGATTCTACTGGGATTCAAGGATTACTGCGCGAAGTACAGAAAGAAGGTTTCAGAGAATCTGGTAAGTCCAGTTATTATAGCATGTGATTCCTGTTGTATCCGTGTACAACTTGGTTGCCAGAAAATACGGAATTTTTCATAATCAGCAACCGTAAACATAATTTAAGAAGTTCTTCGGATTCTGACTAACATCTCCTTAACAAAACGTCATATTTGCAAGCTTTCGTTTTCGACAGTGTACTTAAGACTTACGATTCCACCGAGGAAGCAAAGAACTGGCGGTATGGAAGACTCAACTACTATGTAGATTATGACGGCCGACGCTGGCTCAATGGTACGCGCATATTCAAGCAGGAGTATAGGTAGGTATAACGCCGTTGTTTACTATTTCCACTTTGTTTTTTAGATCAATTGAATTCTAGAATTTGGAATGAGACTTGGCACCTGCGAAATATTACACTACGTGAAACAGCATATTACATTGCCAAACAGATGGCAGCTTATGGCGATGTTTGTGAGGTAAGGCGAATCGAGAACGGCCCCACGGCGAATAACTGACGATATCGATTAGCATTTAAGAGTTTGAAGGCATTCAGCAAGGAATCATCTTTGTGCGAAAGCCGCCTGTAATCATCTAAGTTTTTGAAGTAAGCAAAAAAGAATTGAAGCTACTGATTCTTGAAAAGTACCTAGTAGCTGTGGAACAAAACGTGAACTTTTCGCAAAGGGCAATCGTGACGACAGTCAGGCAAGGTACGCTGGCCATCTGTTCACTGTCATGCAATATGTCCCACAAAATGTGAACACTGTGTGATCGCCAAGAACTCTCTTGCTTTCATGTCTTTCGCCGAGTTTGAGGAAATAAGTTGTAGAGCGAGTTTCAGCTTAGATTTATAGTATGGGGATCACCAACCTCTCTTCGTAGATGTAGGATTTTTGTAAATTGGAAGCGATTATTGCCTCAGAAAGGAAAACCAGACAAGCCAGAAGCTCTTGTACAGGACTAATCGAAGACTCTTGTACACGACTAGTCGAATTCTAAATATAACTTTGCACTTCACTTGATGCTTGTTTCATAGGCCATTTCAGATTTAGGGTAACAAATGTCTTTCCAATGCCTATCGAAGTGTGAT